ATTCTGTGATAAACAAGCTAGACATAGGATCATTGAGAAATTTCATGGAATACACTGACTCATATAGATTTGAAGAGATTTTGCTCAAATGTGTGAATTGTGATGAATATGGAAAAGAGTTGACCATGTTGATAAACTGATACAATGGGATGGAAATAGAAGGTTAATCAGATTTCCGTGTTATATACAACGTGTGAATTGTCAACAAAATGACCACACAATAACCGAGTGACTTCGACAGAATGACAGTCACTTTACACGTTCTATTAGCGAAAGTTATCTGAGAGAGAGATTGAGACGGAGAGAGAGAGTGAGAGGGAGTGAGAGAGAATGAGAGAGAGTGAGATAGAGGGAGAGTGAGTGAGAGTGAGGGAGAGTGAGGGTGAGAGAGGGAGAAAGCAAGAGAGAGATGTACAGATGCATCGATGTACAGATATGCAGATGAAGAGATGTGGAGAGAGGTAGTTTTTGAAGAGGGAATAGTGCACCGAAGCATCAACGAAGCATCATTCAACGTGCTCAAACGAACACGATGATCAAACAAACTGCACTCAAACGAAAACATCACCATGACGAATCAAACCATAACTATTTATGTGACTGTGCAGTGTATTACGATGAAAATCTTTTTAGTAAGGTACCGATTCATCCACAGACGTCAGTTCAAATTGTAAGATGATCACTTTCCAAACTATTCTACACTTCTTCATAAACACGAGTCTTCACATAATCACAGATTTCAAGTTCAAACTTAAATATTCACGCTCTCACATTTCAGTTGTCCCCGCATCAGACAAACCCACAGGTGAGTTACATTCTTTATTAGTCAACAGATCGCACTATATCAGTCATGAAATGTAAATCAGTTCAGTCGAATATATACACTTTCTGACAATGTGATGTGCTGAATCGTTCAAGTAATATTTGCATTAGTTGAACACACTGTCATTCTGTGATAAACAAGCTAGACATAGGATCATTGAGAAATTTCATGGAACACACTGACTCATATAGATTTGAAGAGATTTTGCTCAAATGTGTGAATTGTGATGAATATGGAAAAGAGTTGACCATGTTGATAAACTGATACAATGGGATGGAAATAGAAGGTTAATCAGATTTCCGTGTTATATACAACGTGTGAATTGTCAACAAAATGACCACACAATAACCGAGTGACTTCGACAGAATGACAGTCACTTTACACGTTCTATTAGCGAAAGTTATCTGAGAGAGAGATTGAGACGGAGAGAGAGAGTGAGAGGGAGTGAGAGAGAATGAGAGAGAGTGAGATAGAGGGAGAGTGAGTGAGAGTGAGGGAGAGTGAGGGTGAGAGAGGGAGAAAGCAAGAGAGAGATGTACAGATGCATCGATGTACAGATATGCAGATGAAGAGATGTGGAGAGAGGTAGTTTTTGAAGAGGGAATAGTGCACCGAAGCATCAACGAAGCATCATTCAACGTGCTCAAACGAACACGATGATCAAACAAACTGCACTCAAACGAAAACATCACCATGACGAATCAAACCATAACTATTTATGTGACTGTGCAGTGTATTACGATGAAAATCTTTTTAGTAAGGTACCGATTCATCCACAGACGTCAGTTCAAATTGTAAGATGATCACTTTCCAAACTATTCTACACTTCTTCATAAACACGAGTCTTCACATAATCACAGATTTCAAGTTCAAACTTAAATATTCACGCTCTCACATTTCAGTTGTCCCCGCATCAGACAAACCCACAGGTGAGTTACATTCTTTATTAGTCAACAGATCGCACTATATCAGTCATGAAATGTAAATCAGTTCAGTCGAATATATACACTTTCTGACAATGTGATGTGCTGAATCGTTCAAGTAATATTTGCATTAGTTGAACACACTGTCATTCTGTGATAAACAAGCTAGACATAGGATCATTGAGAAATTTCATGGAATACACTGACTCATATAGATTTGAAGAGGTTTTGCTCAAATGTGTGAATTGTGATGAATATGGAAAAGAGTTGACCATGTTGATAAACTGATACAATGGGATGGAAATAGAAGGTTAATCAGATTTCCGTGTTATATACAACGTGTGAATTGTCAACAAAATGACCACACAATAACCGAGTGACTTCGACAGAATGACAGTCACTTTACACGTTCTATTAGCGAAAGTTACCTGAGAGAGAGATTGAGACGGAGAGAGAGAGTGAGAGGGAGTGAGAGAGAATGAGAGAGAGTGAGATAGAGGGAGAGTGAGTGAGAGTGAGGGAGAGTGAGGGTGAGAGAGGGAGAAAGCAAGAGAGAGATGTATAGATGCATAGATGTACAGATGTGCAGATGAAGAGATGTGGAGAGAGGTAGTTTTTGAAGAGGGAATAGTGCACCGAAGCATCAACGAAGCATCATTCAACGTGCTCAAACGAACACGATGATCAAACAAACTGCACTCAAACGAAAACATCACCATGACGAATCAAACCATAACTATTTATGTGACTGTGCAGTGTATTACGATGAAAATCTTTTTAGTAAGGTACCGATTCATCCACAGACGTCAGTTCAAATTGTAAGATGATCACTTTCCAAACTATTCTACACTTCTTCATAAACACGAGTCTTCACATAATCACAGATTTCAAGTTCAAACTTAAATATTCACGCTCTCACATTTCAGTTGTCCCCGCATCAGACAAACCCACAGGTGAGTTACATTCTTTATTAGTCATCAGATCGCACTATATCAGTCATGAAATGTAAATCAGTTCAGTCGAATATATACACTTTCTGACAATGTGATGTGCTGAATCGTTCAAGTAATATTTGCATTAGTTGAACACACTGTCATTCTGTGATAAACAAGCTAGACATAGGATCATTGAGAAATTTCATGGAATACACTGACTCATATAGATTTGAAGAGATTTTGCTCAAATGTGTGAATTGTGATGAATATGGAAAAGAGTTGACCATGTTGATAAACTGATACAATGGGATGGAAATAGAAGGTTAATCAGATTTCCGTGTTATATACAACGTGTGAATTGTCAACAAAATGACCACACAATAACCGAGTGACTTCGACAGAATGACAGTCACTTTACACGTTCTATTAGCGAAAGTTATCTGAGAGAGAGATTGAGACGGAGAGAGAGAGTGAGAGGGAGTGAGAGAGAATGAGAGAGAGTGAGATAGAGGGAGAGTGAGTGAGAGAGAAAGAGATTGAGAAAGTGTGAGAGTGAGTGAGTAAACAAGAGAGATATATAGATTCATAGTTGTGTAGATGTGCAAATAAAGAGATGTGGATATAGATAGACTTTGAAGAGAGAAATATGCACAGATTGACGGAGAAACGTTTCGGCACAGAAAATTACAATGTGCACATCGACAAACTGGAACAGATACGAACAAGTATCAAAGATGAAACAGTGCGAAATCGCAACATTAAAATATCACACCAATCGAAACGATGCATCATTCAACGTGCTCAAATGAACACGATGATCAAAAAAACTGCACTCAAACGAACACATCATCATGATCAATCTTTCTGTGATAAGCAATCTAGACATAGGATCATTGAGAAATTTCATGGAATACACTGAATCATATAGATTTGACGAAATTTTTCTCAAATGTGTGAATTGTGATGAATATGGAAAAGAGTTGACCATGTTGCTAAACTAATACAACGGGATGGAAATAGAAGGTTAATCAGATTTCTCTTTTATGTCTTTGACTCTACACTTTCTGTTTGAAAACTTTTTCTTCGTAAAGATTTGTTGTTCCATTGATCATCATCCGTTTGAAATTGCACAGTTTTTTAATTTTTATTAGTTCACTAAGTATCTACATGTCCCACATTTTACGATAGATGCCCTCAAGATTTGAATTTATTTGCACACTCGTTTCTTTTTTGTTTTATTGTTGTCGAATTCGCAATAAGACTATTGTATTTCTATCCTTAAACTAACGGTAATCGGATGGTGATTTATTTACACACACCCGTCTTTCTTAAAATTTCACTTTAATAAATTGCTGGTTTGTCAATTCTTCTATATCTTCTCCTTACAACTATTTGAAAAGCCTTCACGAATTACAAATTTTTGATTATAGTTCCAAAACATTTAAAAACGAGGATTAAAAATTACAAATATGCACATTATAAGTCTTCAATACAAAAATGTGAGTTATTTAGAATAATCTCAAATTTGTTTAAATTCAAGTATGCTTATCAAATAAATCATTTTGATGTTTCTCATAAATCGTGTGTTTATGGAATTGACGTTACAAGTGATAGTGGACCAACTGCAGGACAAACTTCTCTAACGCATTACCAAACAGCATAATTTGTTACGTTCGCTTCTTGCTTTTATGGGCATAATTTTCGTTTGAGTAACTGATTTTGCAAAATTATTACCACATTAGCTATGCATGTGAAACTGACATCTAGATTACTGTTATAATTGTATTTTGCTAATAAACGACCCAGCTATTCCTATTGCTTAGTATTCTTATACGATGACATTTAACAATACCCCAAAATCTGAACACGTTGAACAGGAATGAAAATTGTATTCAAAATAATAATGTTAAGTGAACACCAATCACTGATTTGAATAACTTTCATATAATTATACTATATACATATGAAGACTCTAGATTTTTCTTCAATAATATGCTCGGGCTGATCGGTTTAGAATAAGCCAGTCAGCGTGCAGCAACACCATCATGCATGAAACATGCATACATGAGACATTCAATCTATGTCCCACTAACAATTGCCTAACGTCATCTAAAAAAATAACTGTTTTGGGTCTTGTGCACTTAATCATATACACTAGCAAATAACCCATTTTCATGAACTTCATCGCAGTTTGTCGTAACACGTGTCCACCATAATTAACTCGGTCAAATCAACATCGTAAAAGATTCTCCATTATCAAATAGAATTTGTAATATTCAAGTACGAACAATATTCGAACTACTGTTGAAAAAAATCTATATGACTTTGATTTCAGTTTTATCTCTTGAACCATATACACGCGCCAGATCCACAACAGAACCACGTATATATCACGAAGGTAAGTAACTTGTTTATTAATTAAACTGCCTTACACAGTTGCACAGTAAACGCTTTCAAAACATCTGCATTCTACAACTACTGTTATGAAAACATTGATATGTATTCGCTTCTCATATATTGACGTAAGCTTGAAGACGTTTCAGCCTTATCAACTGAAGAATGAACAGAGTCAGGTTCATTGCTTATATTATTGAAAAAATTCGCTGATGAGTTTCATTTGTTTAAAGGATGGTGGAAAACAGTCAAGTTGTTGGGATTCAAACTCTCGAAAAAATTCAAACTTCACATCCTCAAAGTTTAGTACAACAATGATTGTTATTCTTTAAAAATATTTTCACTGTGTTTCCTTTGTAATACATCTAACGTGGTATTATCAACTATGAATGTACTTCTGAGGTATTTCTTACTTCTTCTAGAATGTCTGAGATTAGAAAAGTTATACTTCACAAAGTGGGCAGTACATTATCTATCAAGTAAGTCATGTTGTGATACTTCTTCGTCTGTACAAATTGCACATTTTGAATTTGTACTCACGGGATTTATTATTAGAAACACGAAGTCACTTATTATGAAATCAGGTGTATTTGACCTCCCTTTGTAAATGAGACTAACGTATCAGAGAAAAGTTTGTGATTAGCACAATTCCTACTCAGATAGTCGTTATATAATGAATGATAGACGACACCGCACACCATGTCGCTTCCAGATTTTACAACAGTACTTACAATGCGACAACACAGACCTAATGAATTTCTCAAAATGGAGTTCCGGATATGTGCGTCTGCTTTTAACTACGTATTTGTTATTCTATTTTTCTTACAGAAAATGCAGCAACTGATATCACTCTGTTGCAAAGTTATAAAAGTACGTAATTTTTCATTGATCCAGACAGTTTTCGGGAGTAAGGTATCAGCAGCTTGTTTGCAAAATGTTCCATTGTACAGTCCACAAAACTTAACAGATTAATATACGTCTTTCATTATCCGAAAACATCGCTATGTACATACAGATTCGTTTGACATACATAGAAAATGTGCACGAAATGTTTGGATGCTTAAATAAGGGCTGTTCATTTGTATGATGTCACATAAATATCATTTACACTTATATGCGCACAAGTAAACACAAAATTGTGCACTTCACGGCCGTGAAGCCATTGGTTTTTGAGTGTAAATAAAGCCAATAATATTTGCTTACCTGTGTAGTTGTACATTTTAAAATCGTCATATTGACTCAACCAGATTGTCACTGTTCAGAGGTGAGAGATGGTTATTAATTAATTTTCAGAACGTGGTGGATATCTCTCTATCTGTATGGTGTCCTCGGCTTGCTAATTGAACAAGGTCTCCTTATACGTTCATAGATGAAATATATTAGAAAAGCTGTTTCTCGCTAACAATACGACGAAAATGTGTAAAAAATATATAATTAGGTGATGAATACTCCATGCACATGGAAATGCATATGAGCCTGAAATTTATTATTTGCATGAAATAGTCATGCAGTCTTGAATAAACCTTCAGCGCGGACCATGTTTCTTTGAACTAGATATTATTCAAATCACAGATCACTTTCAAACTGTGACTTTATGGTGTAAATGGACGAAATGATTCTCAATAGCTACCACAAACTCTCACAATTTTTGTTTTGTTTTCCAAAAACAGATGAATATGAAGAGGCCAAGAAGGGAGATAAAAATGCTGACCGCCGGAGAGACTGTAATTATCATTATCATTTTAATTACTGCGAACAAATTTGAAACAGCTTCTCGTAAATATACAATGGTTCTACTCTTAAACGTTGTTACATGCGACACAGTGGTTTACGAATGTTACGCTCTCCTTCCTAGCAAAAATGCTTGCAAAATCTACGTAATAATTGATAACACAAGCAATAAAGATGAAAAACGATTACTGTATTCGAAGTGATTGAATTTTGGTCTGGTGTATTTGCACTCAGAATTAACATGTGGATGATAGTAATAATACGTATATTCTGTAAATAATAATTTCAGAATTCACTCCAGTTTACAGGCCTGGTCAGCTTCACATAAATGGAAACACTAGACATACGGAACAGACATGAGCAATGACGAATTAAATAAAATGATCTACAAATAAGGAAAGTAAAATGGAAACAGAGAGCACGGAACAACAATTACTGAGAACACTACTGAGAACCGTTTACAGTCTAATGCGAATATTGTGACAGAAAAGTTATAACGACTTTCACTAGTGTTATAGTTGTCTTATCTTTATAGCCATTTTCACGAATGACCAATGTTACTAAACATCTGACCCTGACGTCTGCTCACAGTAGGTAAAAATATTGGTCATGGATTATTTATTATTATACGATTCACCAACAGTGATATAATGTCTATCACTTTTATCCACTATAATTTTTCAACAACTGACGAAATTTAATTGAATGCTTATTGCATAAATTGTTGCTTTGACAGGGAATGGAATATTACGATCACGTATTTCTAAGAAGTGGAAAGAGAGAGAACTTCTTGATGACGTCGAAAGTAATGTTACATACTTCACCCTTTTCTAGTAAACGTAACAAAAACAGTAAAGTAAAACCACTGATAACTTCAATTGATCTATCCACTAGGCATCCTATGATATCTCAAACGTTGAACGAACCAGATAAATTAAAATCATCGTTCATTATTGACAGCATAATAGACTGATATTTAGAACGAACAATTTCAAAGCATTTATGAGATAACATCCAACAATTTTGTTTGAAGTCTTTTAGCTACACAACTATAATCGGTAATTGGTTATTTAAATGCAAATTATTAGTGCAAGTATTCCCGAACGACAGTGGAAATGAACACAACTGAAACAAACGTTGTTGAATGAAATAGTAAAAGAATGTTCGTAAAACGATACACTGTCTGAAAGTACAAGTGACATAAGAGAATGAAATACTGTAAACATGTAAACTGTTCGTTTAGTAATTTCATATGTTTATAATGAGAATCATTATTATTCCACTTTAAGGTGCTTACATCGCTGAAACGCGCACAAAAGTGAATGTGAATAAAGGTGAGTTTGACATATTCCACCTTTAAGTACAATTTTGTTTATTGATATCACTAACACTTTATTGTGTGAAGAGTCTGAATGACTACTGATTATCTACAGTTCATCCTTTTTTAAACGCTTACATGTAAGCAAAGATGGAAGGTGGCGTTACCAACTTAGCTACTGAGTCCTGATAGCCACATGCCCGTGCAACGAGGTGAAGTTCAAATCCAACCGTAACAGTCAAGTTGGATCTTCCCATTGATGTTTAACATTGGAATTGATCGGTCTCTTATTAGAATACGTACATAATGTGTTTATTGCTTCGATATTGCCCTAAGCGTTATAAGCAAAGATGGATAGTGGCTGTTAGTCGAATCCTTGATGCGCAATTCGTCCTGGATGTGACTCGTCAGCTGGATGAACCTACTTCTCAGAGTTGATGTTTGCTCTGACACTCGATCACAATACCGTCAGCTTCAAATGTCATCGCGTTATTCACTAAGCCACTGATTTCTGATAGCTTTCCTGTAGTTGCATCAAATTCGTCAAATAAATTTTCAATGATACTCTGTCAAAATGAATAAAATTAATCCAAAATACCCGTGAATAATGTATGATTCTGCTGTAAAAATTCACAGAGGAACTGAAGAAACAGTTAACGAATACTGAAAATAAAATTGAAGCTCAACTCAGTAAGCTGAACATTCAAAATAATGAGTTTTCTGTTGTTGTTGTATGCCCAACTTACATCATGTGATTTGAGAAAATACGGTTCATTGGTCCTCATTGTTATGTCCCATAGTCTGTCAATTATCCCGTGACTAGATCGCAAATCAGAATACAGACTTGTTCAACATTTTCTGGACCAAACCAATGACGTGTTTACCAGACCGAACAGCCTAGAGTCAACTCTCAGTCCGTATTGTTTCTTCTCGTCTAGTCCTACACGTTTGAATCCAGAACATAATCTCGGCTTCCTTTCTATGAATCATATATTTCAAACATAAACAGTTTATATTCAAGCGAGTCCAACAGCACTATACCATGAAAAATAAAATAACCACCATACAAGGTCAAGTCAAAAGTGTCTATGAATGTGAGCTACTGTAACTAATAAATTGGAATAACTCGAAAATAATAAATCATACCATAATATTTAATGGGTCAAATGAATCTTCATAATAAGAGAAATGTGAGTATATATATATATATATAAACCAAATACTTACTAGTTATCCAATAAAAATATATGTACTAAAGGTGCATAAATAACTCCTAGCAGTTACCATTCATTCAAAATTCGTTAGGATATAACATTTATAAGGTTGAAATGATCGTAACAACACATTGTCGACTGTGATGCAACAGAGTGGGGGAAACCTCCAATTTCACATCCACCAAGGAATTCAGCTAAACTTATGTTGTTGTCATTTCATTTCTTTTGACACAATTCAAATGTAGTTACTACGTGAAATACAGCTATAGAAAAGTTGTTGTGCTAACTACACATACACTACCACTCTCAGACAGTTCACCAACGAAATGATTTTCATAATTAAACTTATGAACTGAAAATGAATTTGATTTCTGATTGTCGGATTAAATCAAATACTTCATGTGCTTTGCCCACTGTAACCACTCATTTTTATTGTATTCTTTAGACATTGTCAAAGAATTAGAATCGAAGGCGATACAAGCAACAAATGAACACATGGATAATAGAGGTTATAAACTCAGCATGTTTGTATTCAAACAAATTCTGACCATCAAACTGAAATTGATTAGACGACACATATCACAAGTGATATCAGGGATATTGCAGACATATATTATGTTGTTGTTTACAATTCAGCCTTGAGTAATTGCTTGTGCAATTCACATTGTTTGAGGACTATGAGAAAGGCGTCTCCGGACCGACTATTAATTCACCTAAAATAATCCTCAAGATGATTCATTGAAAAACGAAGACAGATTCGCTTAGTGATGAAGAAATCGAAGAATGTTGATTGTCAGTAAATGACGCAATATTTATTAACAGTTCAGAATAACAGATATTCATTTTCATTTCTAGACTAGATTATTCTAGTTGAAGAGATGGTGAATTCCTGCAACAGATAAATCACATGTTACTTAATATTACTGACGCGTTTAATTACAACCTTTCCTGTAATTGTTAGTAACGTGATACCTAATGTAGTGAACTATAATTGTGGAATTATGTATGCATGTATATGACACTTTGTAGTTTATTTTAGATCATCAGAAGCTTATATTTATTTTTCCTACCTTAGATGATAAGTCACTTGAAGAACAATATTATGAAGCCTATTCAACACTAGCCAAAGAATTACGTAATCATATTTACATATTGTATGATAGTTTATATCATTTAACTGTAAAACTGCAAGCTTCATAAAAATTATATGAACCATTTATTTTATAACACAGTGTCTATTTTCAAATTGATATGGGTTGGCTTACATACAATATATTTTGTTTCTTTTCATAGGTTCATTGGTTGACCTGATGGGAGAAGCTGAATTTCAAAGGATTCTATTATTAACTAGTATGCTTTAAGATTTTTTAACTTCATTTTTCTTAGCACTACCCAAAGATGAACAAATAAATATGATTATACAAGCAATGGATAAAGATTCAACCAATTGCAGCTGTAAGTTTTAAAGCACTCATTGCAAACGTTTCTCAAGAGTCGACATTGACACACGAGATCAGAAAACGTCGAACAGTATTCTCATATTCACTGCTTCTTAAATATTTGAAATATATAATAAGTATTGAATGATGCTCTACCTAAACTAAACATACAAAAGCCTAGTTGTTAATTACTAATAGAAAGAATGCTTGGTCGAATATTATCATATTATATCCTCATACATTTTCGCCAGAAACGTTCACTGCGATATAGTTTGTCAGAAATGCACTCAAGTTTCTTGTTTAAGCACTAGAATTTGCAAACGTATTTCCTTGGAAATTTACTTTACTCCCAAATTTTTCTGTTTTAGGAGAGTGATAATGTTTTCAACTAAACCTCAGTGTTTGTTTATGATATGGACAGACATGTTTCGGATCGTTAACTGTTTTCTGTGTCAATTGCTTTTTCAATAAATAATACGCACAAACATTTTCTTTTGATTTGTTTCATTTTGCGTGTAATTACAACATGATATCGATAAAACACCATCAATGTCAAGCAAAATGTAGGCAAAAGATTAACAATATTTATTTACTCTGAAGAATTGAGTTACATTCAGTCACAAAACGTCACAAATACAATTCTCCACTAATTGTGATATCACAAAAATATATATCTATAATTAGTGTTCCGGCCTGCTCAAAATGTTTTATCTTCATTATAGAATGCATACAGTTGAAACATCCATATGCCATGATTTTAAACAAGCTGTGAAACCATCAAGTCATCACCGGAAAGTTCATTAGGTCTTCTCCACTCACTTAACAAATTTATTCATAAACGAAACCAGATGTAGACAATTGTGCAGTCCAAAGATACTTATATATATATGGTAATCAATGTTGGTGATCATGTTTGATCTAGTTATGTTCACATAAATTGGAATGAAATATCAAGTCAAAAGAGAAACACAACTACATATTAGAAGCAACTGTGAGATTTAGTTGCTGGAGTTTGACGTACTGCACAAAGAATCCATTTGTTGACACAACGATTTACACATGCAAACACAAAAATAATTTTCACCACATAGAGCCTATCATTTCAAATTCTCAACTGTTTTCTAATTAAATTTTATGTCACTCAGTTATTACTATCATTAATGCGCTTGTTATAGGTTGATTAAAGATCGTTCAAATGTGACAAACAGTCATATTTCAGTTCAATAAGAAGAAAAGAATTCAGCGAAGAAATTTTCTTTTCGACGAAACCATTCACTTAAGCTGTACGTTCGTCTATATAGTTAGATGAAAAATATATGTCTACAGGAGGCTAAGAAAGATTGCATTATAAATTGATTCGGCAACAAATAACAAATGAGGTTACGTCTTAATCAAGGGGTATGAAAGAAATTAATTATTTATGGGTCAGACAGACCTATTGACAAATGTGAAGAAAAGCGACAAACACAAAGGTCATAATAATAATCTGAATAATAATCAAGATAACTTGTATAAGGTAATAATAATAACGGATTAAAGTCCAAAATGTAAAACAGTAATTAAAAAAACCCGATAGTACTCGAATAAAAGTGCAGAAAAGAAAAAAAACACCAATCAGAAACATACAATCGAGGGTATTATGGCCAAGGAAGTGTGCGAAGTTGGACAAATCGTCAGGCTTAAATTCACGGATCGCCCATTCCTCAGCAGTGCATAAAATATTGATTATAGCCTTTTTGATTTGATAGATTACTTTAAAAGACGAGTCTTTTGGAGCAATATGTCCACAGTCGGTCAAATGCTCTTGCATCGAACTAGTTATCTTCTTTACATTCTCCTTTTCAGAGCCAAGCCGGTTAGTAATCCAATAAGCGTTTGGAAAGCGATCGTTTTGTGCGGCCTATGTAACGTGTCCTACATGAGCAAATAAATTTATAGATACACATCGATGTGGTCCAAAGCGAAAGTTTATCCTTAACACACCCCCAAATGGTAGGTCAGCTAGAAAAAACAATTCGAAGCTTGGTTGTGTAGAAAGTTTTATTCAACGACTTTGAAATCCGTTTATTCAGGATTTCAGCAGCCGTGTCTCATTTGAATTCCATATTCATATAGAAGGTTTTTCTTCTGTACTGTGAAAGCTTTTTCTTGATGAGGTCTAGGCGTTAAGTTGCTATCGACGAACCTAGATGGATAACCGTTTTGGATGAGGGTCTGTCTAAGATGAAGTAGTTCTTCCATTTTGGTCTCATTGGAACGGATTCGCTTGATCCTAGAGGATAAAGAGTGAATTAAGTTCCTTTTTCGAATCAGTGGAACCCAATTATGGAAATTCCTGTTTTATCCATTCCAAGCGGGTTTTCTATACAAAGATTTTTGTAAATAACCTTTAGGTATTCTTTTTCAAACGGACGTCAAGAAAATGGAATTCACAGTTCACTTCTGCCTCTAAGGTAAATTGAATTGGCGGATGACAATTATTGAAAATATTTAACATTTCATTGTGGTCCATGTCATCTTCACAAATAATGAAAGTATCATCCATATATGTCATATATAAATGAAATTTCTCAATTATTGGGGGAAGTACAGAATGTTCTAGATTGGCCATGAAACAATCAGCCAAGAGAGGACCCAATCGAGAGCCCATTGCAACTCCATCTGTTTGTCTATAGAAAACATCATTAAATTTAAATTGCACGTTGAGCGAACATCGTAGAAGTAGTTGTTTAAGATAATGTTTTGGGATACACATATCAAGATTATTGCTTTCAATATAGTCACATAAAAACAAACAGTTGCTGTGAGAGGAACATTTGTAAACAGCGAAGTGACACGTTTGGGAGTACATATAGTCTAGGTATAATGGAACCTGATGGTTTGAGATTTACATAGAGATCACCAATGATAATAAGCTCATGTTTCATCTTCCTCAGGATTTTAATTAGCATCGGTTCCTTTATTTCAGTTGTGTCATTTTGAACGGTTTCTTTAGAGAATTTGACTGGATCAGATAATATGGAAGATATTTTGGAAATATAGTCAAGGCGATCCAAAAGTACAATTCCTGCACCTTTGTCTAAGCGACATAAAACTAGGCCCTGATTATTTCGAAGATCAGATAATTGGGATTAATGATTTTTGTTTATTATTACCATATACAAGTTCTCTTGATTATTATTCAGATTATTATGACCTTTGTGTTCGTCGCTTTTCTTCGCATTTGTCAATAAGACTATCTGACTCATAAATTAAGTAAATGATTTCATCGAAAAGAAAATTTCATCGCTGAATTCTCTTTTTCTTATTCCATGAAATATCCTAATTGTTAGGACTGGTTCAAATCTCGTGATTTGACAAATATACATCTCAGTCTAACACAAGGATAGTCTAGTGTTCATGTCTGTGGATGTGAAGCTGAGTGACACCGAATCGAATTCATCACAGTGTATCAGTTCCCTCACGATTACAGGTATATTTTGCTGATGAACGCCAAGTAACACGAAACCTGGGTCCAGAGTTTCCTGTCGACTAACGTCAACGACTATCTTAGCTCAGCAAAGTGAATGCAAAGTGTAGTCACTTGAACTAGTGGCCTGATTGCAACTTCGTTGATTCGATCTGCACTAAGAAGGACGTAACGCACGTGACATGGATCAGAACCCAATTATCAACCTATTGTAAACACAAGTATCTACTTCTCTGAATCAAGCAGCACAACTTGCTGAAGTACATTTCCTTCGTTTATGTATTTATAATATATATTGAGCGTTGTTATTCTTCTCTTAAATCTCAGCCATCACTATGATAACTGGTCAACACTCTACGTGACTCGAGCATCAAATGCCTGATTCGAATGTAGTCATGACAAATGATTTGCATAATCTTCAACAAATATGAAAAATCACAATTAACACTGTCAATTACTCACCTCCAAAACGTTTTCGGAAATAAGAATCAAAAATACAGAACAGAAAGTTGTTAGGAACTACCTTTAGTTTTTCCACTTGACACAGTTAGATGGAATACTTGCATGCCGAAATTCACTTCGTCACTAAATACTTTTAGTTGACTGGTCTACAGCTTGCAAACATGCTTGGTTGTTTAGTACCAAGGTCATAAATAACTGCTTTTGCAATAACATGTTTTCTCAAAATATCAACATTACTGTTATTTCACAAAGTAAACGGGCTGTATGCCGAAATAAATTTCATTTATCTCACACCAGTTCCTGACACCATGCCATACAGTTATTCGTAAATGGCAGACATAACGATGATAGTCAAGACAGATTCGAGCTGTTTCACTTCTGCTGGAAACTACAAGGTGTTGGGCACCTGCTTCGTCATGTTTTGAAACTTCATAGAAGTGCACTGATATTATTGACCTTTAATAACCTTCACAAACCCGCTTGTTACTACAAGCAACTCATGGTGATCGCACTGGAGTGTCAGAGCTACATTAGAGAAAAATCTATCCACAAAAAATTGTGAATGAAAAATCCATTCATCTTTCTGATGTATACCTAATACAAGAGCTCTAAAATACCTTCTACTGTGTGATAAGCAGGTTGTAAGACCTGACCTATCCAAAGACTTTCACTCTTGAATCTGTTGCCAATTGACTGCCTTACGAATTATTGCTTTCTGATGGAAGTTTCATCCAATTTTGTATATAAGCATATATACGGATGGCCGGCTTGAATATCTGGCTACCCTTAACTGCCATACAGATATTTAAACAAATTTTATGTCTTCTTTT